CTTCCTACACTCCGTTCTCTCTACTTTAATGGCACATTCCATTTTCTCTTTTCTAAGACTAATCTTTGCCCCTTATATCAACTCCCCATCCCAACTCTATTCCTCTTCCACAGCTCCTCTTCGTCAGGTCACACACGTTCTCGTGTCAGTGTTACAGTCATTTCCCTTTCCACTCTCACAATTTTCACCTGCATCAATCTGCCCTCTTCATTACAACCTGCATTTACTTCTTTGGAGTTTTCTCACTCTATATGTTCTCAGGTGACCTTCCCATAGACTTTTAAACAAAGGACCTGCAAATCTACATCCATGATGAAATGCAGACTAACTTCTGGAACATTCCACCTAGAACATGCAACTATCATTTTCAAACCTCAATGTTCACCTCTCAAAGTGCATCCTACTCTGTGAGATTATTTTTGAGAGATTATATTGTGAGATTATTTTCTGGCAGACGCCAGAAGAGTGGGGCATCAGATCGCCTGGAACTGGATTAAAGATGGTTGTTAACCACACCACGCATGCTGGGAACTGAATCCTGGTCCTCTGCAAGAGCAGCCAGTGCTTTAAATTACTGAGTCATCTCTCCAGCCCTCGTCTCTTTTTCACCTTTTATTCCACACTCTTCAATCCCTAACCCATCGTGTTAACAAGTACTTCAATGCTCTTTCTTGGAGAATTTGTTGAGTCTAGTCCCTTCTTTAAAGTTTCACGAGAAGCATGCTGCATCAAGCCCTTGGTTTATTTGTAGAACTTGTTTTTAGAGTAGGCTTCCTTCTACCTACTTTACAAACTCAAGCCACATTAATCATCCTTAACACTGTTCTTCTGTTATTTTCTCATACTTAAAATATTCCATTTTTCACACTATGTAAAATATGCTTACAAATCTCTAGTCTTGAACACAATAACCTTTACTTGGATATAAAGTATTTTTAGGCTGAAATCTGTCTCATCTTCACAATTGTCTCAACTCCAAAGTTTTCAGAAGATCATCTCTTTAAAATAAACTGACTTTATTTAAAACATATATTCTTAAACTTACATCTCTCTTTAAAAAAATATTTCTCTGGTAGTTGATTACTGTTTTATCAGCTATTCTTTCCCTGTACTGCTTCAGACAGAAGTTTTTAGTCTGACTATTCCCCTTTTTCACTCAGAGTTTATGTCAAGGTAAAACAGTCTCTTCCTCACCTCTGCAGGTGGCTCATGATTCAACTGCGTGTGATGTTAACCCTCATTTTCCAGTCTTCGCTAGTTTAGGAACAGTCTTGGAATGAAAATCTAGACAATGGCAGTTACTGTGGAAGAGAAGTTTGCCTTTTTCTTAAAAAGAAACCAGAAGGAAGAAAAATGTGGGTGGTTTTTTTCCCCATTCTTAGGATAGGTCTGCAAAGTTCTAAAACAAATTACATCAGGGACTAATTCTGTAAGAAGCCAGCAATCCGAGGACAGCAGGCTTGAAAGGCGGGAGTCCACACTATTCTAGACTTTTGCTATAGTATTAAGCTAAACAATTAATTATTTGACAAGAGCTGGAGAGCACTTAGACTTCTTGCACTATACAATGGAAATGAACGGAAACACATTTGGTTACAAGCACCTAAAAACCCAACTTATTATAGCTTTAGGCCCACAGGAATTAACTTATCTCAATTTAAAAAATATCTGGAAGTTGCCAGTTTGAGTCAGGGGCTATGATGCAAAGGCAGCCTTTCCTGTGGATCATCCTTTCCCCTTCTTCTTCATTCACAGTTGCAGGAGGTGCCCAATGTACTCAATATACCCAATGTATTCAATGTACCCAGTGTACTCAATGTATCCAATGTACTCAATGTATCCAAAGTGCTCAATGTATCCAATAGACTCAATGCATCAAATAGACTCAAGGTACCAAAAAGAAAGAAACAAAGAACTTTTTTACCCTATTCCTTACTTTTTCCTTATGAGGTAGATTCCATCCCCAAATTTCGACATGGTCTTCTTGACCTCTTGTTCTTTTGTAAAAGTTTGGATAGGGTTTTTGCTATGGGTTGTCAGGATGTTTCAGCAAATAATATGAGAGTTACATTTTATGAAACATAGAGGAATAAATAGGTACCTAGCAGGTGCAGCACAGGACAGGCAGGGCTAGAATGTCTGCTCTAGGTTTCTTAATGAATACATCTTCTTTTTTCCATTTCAGGTTACATCAAACTCAGCCTTGAATAACCAATTCAAATCCCAGCTCTCCCTCTCCAGACCACATTAATTCTTAATATGTGTGAGGCACTTAGCAGAACGTACAGTTGTTTAAGTTTACTTGGAAGGCTGTTTTTTATATGGTATTGTCATCTTAATTGCTATTTAGCTTTGAGTTACTATAAATATTTCCAAATTATTACTTAGAATTTCTGAGCTGTGTTGTATCTGATACAACTAATTCAGTAAATATCCATTGAAAGGCGGGAGAAATGGAAACTGTGATATTGTTTGATACTGCATCTGTATCTTTATGTTCAAAATAGCAATTATTTTATAAAAAAAATCTTTTTCAGTGGATGTCTTTGTCACATCCTTTAAACGATCTTAACTCATTACTAATGCTCTTTTAAACAATAGCCATTTTCCTAATCATACAGTTGTTGACCATGTGGCAGTGCTATCAGTATAAATATTTATTAGCATAGAGATAGCTCCATAGTCAGTTATTTGTGGACCTTATGTCCACAAATTCTCCTGACTTTAACCCACCATAATGCATGGTACAGGAATATCCATGCTCTCTTAAGTGAAAAATATGATTAACTATTATCACCATGCATTGAGCAAGATTTCAAATAATCTGGACTGAGTGAAAAATCATGCTATGGCTGAATAATTCTTCACATCTGTGATGTAAAGTGAAAAAGAAAACACTTGATCTTAATACTGCCAATCCCTAGCTCAGTGAATACAGGGAGTAAATGAGAAGTTTCTTCCATGAAAAGGTGGCAGACTTTCTGAAATAATTACTATTTTTTTAAAGAAAAGCATCTCAGTTATTACATATCATCTATTTCTGAAACAGGAGGGAGAGATACAGAGTTTTATATTTGTTCTTAGCCTATAGTAATGGCCGAGTTATGAAGAATAGCTATATTTCTGTACTGTGAAGGACACGTGAAACATTAACTATGATTGAAATTTTTCAAAGGAAGGTAAAAATAATGTTGGAAGGTGTCAATATTACTCCTCCCAGAATACCAAATGAATAAATATTTCACCTAATTCAGTATATTGATTTAATTCTTACAACACTCTACAAGATAGATGACATTATTTCTACCATACAGATGAGGAAAATGAATCTCTGAGATTTTAAATAATTGCCTGCAGGTGAGGGTTTTAGCCAAAATAAAGACTTCAGTTTAATAATCCCAAAGGTCAATACATTCCATGTATTTCCCTAAATATCATTTTGAAAATTTTCATTTATTCAGTTCTCAGAGCAAATTATCCATCTTATTGAAAGACTCCAGATTTAATACTTGCAATGCATACACAAGACCATTAATATGAAATCTTGGTGAAATCAATTTGCAAATTTGGCATATTCCCTAGCTATGTGTTCTG